AAGTTTAAAAGAGAGTTAAGAAATTGCTTAGCTCCCTATAGAGACGTTTTAGTGGAGTTAGAAAAAAAAGCTACAATCGAAAACCAATGTGAAGATGAACTAAGTGCTGAAGACATTTTGCCCATTAAAAGAAGACGAGTTAGGCGACTCATGTCTGACAGCGAGGATGAGTGTTGAAAGATTACATAATTATACAAAAGTCTTCATTGTTTTTGTTGAAAAACAGTCTTTTAGTTTAGTTCTTGTTTAATTTTTTTATCAATCCTTATATGAACTCTTCAATTCAAATCAATAAAAATAATTTATATATTATCTTGTCGTTTGTATTTATTGATCTCCATATAACGCGGTACGAATGATGTGATTTCTACTAATTCCGAGTTTCTTATAGCGCGGTTTCAATACAACGCGGTAGACGGTTTCCATAGAACACGCTACGAATTAGCCTGGTTTGTACGGTTAAATCCGAGTTTCTTATAGCGCGGTTTCTATATAATGCGGTACGCACTCACCGCGTTATAGGAGGGTTGACTGTACTCTAATCCTAAATGTATAGATAACTAAGCGAAATTAAGTTAAATAAAAGTTCAAAGTCCGTGATTTATTTTTAGCGAGGTTTACAAATTATCGCAATGATAAGTAGATTAAAACGTCCTCCATAAACAGAAGCGAAAGTAATGAAATAATTTAATCTGCAAAAATATTATTCTAATATAAACTGAAAAGTAACAGTTAATATTATAATTTTATTATTTAGAATTATGTTTTCATGAGATTCGCAACATTTATTAGTTTTTATAATTTATATAAATAATATCACAAAGTTGTAATTAATGTTATTTTTGATAATACGTTAAGTAAATATTTAAATTTTATGGTTAAATTAGATAATCTAACTAAAAATATTGAACTTACTTTTTCTAATCTATAGATTGATATTACTTAACATTTTTTGTCAGTACATTCATAATACCCACATTATTTATTATTATAGTGAATAGTGACTTTAGATGCAACATAAATTTGTTAATTCTAGTAATGTATTAGGTAAATCAATACGTTAAAATTTGAATATTTTTTCATACTGAAACAAATTTGTCAGTGACATTAAAGTGAGATGTTTGACTTATGAAAGTTTCATCTGACAGCTCACAGTTTTCTGCTGTCTTCGGCTCTTCTGCTATGAGCTATCAAAAATGTTAATGCTGAAAACCTTCAATATTTTGATATATTTTGCTAATAATTATGTAATTCTTATTATATTTTATTGTTGCATAATAAGGGTACAAATTTTATGTAACAAAAGTTACGTAATGACAATTACGAAAACGAGAAATGACGATTGTTCCATGTGTTCACGTTTTATTAATTTCCTCGACAACCACTTAAGCCAATTGATCATATTTATATTCAAATCAAAGACGAATGTTTCACCTTTCCAACCTACCTACTGTAAAGTTTGTCCTCTCATCGACTCATTTTCTACGAGCTATTAAACATATCATCGTAAGGTACCCAAATGTCAAAAACAAAAACAAGTCGGTTAAAATCGTATTCAATTGTTTCAGTCGTTCCACAATGTTTAACATAGACTCATTGAGTTATGTTTTAAGTTAAGATATGCCATATTTCATTAAAAAAAAAACAATATTAGTTTACATACAAATATTGTTAACGAAATATGCAAAATAATTTGACAACGATTTTAATTATTCATTAGCCACAACTTTGAGAACAACATCAACTTTCCATTGATATTATTACATTGTGTACAATACAATAATTGTAATGGAACTGACACATGTGAAGTCACACTTCGAGCGCAAATAGAAATGCGAAAAGGGGCACTGACCAACAACGTCGCCACGGTTTTCAGTTTTGTCGACGTGTAAACAATCGGTAAGCGTATCCGGTTTCCAAGAGCAAATGGAAACAATATCACCATGGAAATCATTGTAGCCATGTGGAAATGAAACGTAGAATTATAATTTCAATTTCGTCAAAATAAAAAAAACACAGCAACAAAAAAAATATATATTTTTAGACCTGTCCGACCTTCGCGCGCTTGCAGTGCATTCAGACAAAATCATTAGGAATCAACGTAGTATGCTCGCATTTGCTTCTACAAAAACAATGGAATATAGCATTTCCTATGCATTTACGCGTTTGAATAGTAAATTTTACGAAATATAGAAATGCACAAACATAATTAAAAATATATTTCCATATCTATTTTTTTCTAAATTATAATAGCAAATACACGTTAGCAAATAGTTAACACACAAAAAGATTTACAACAAAATATTGTTTTAGTTTGAACAAAAGATTTTGTTAATTTTGTGATTATATAAATAAACCTTTGCAAACATTAATTTTTGTATGAAAAAAATATGTAACATTAATTACTGTTTGCTTTTTACCTAATTAAGCTTAGTATGTCTAATGATACATACACGTTATAAAAATAACGTAAATAAACACGTAAAAACACGTAAATAAAAATGCAGCTGTCAGTTCAGTTTTATACTAATTAAGTTGGGAAAATAATTAACAGTAATTAGTGTTGCAGGTGGACACTGTATACTAATTTGGGCAACAACACAAAAAAAATCCAAACAAATGTGCATAAATAACTCTCATTATTGAAACGTTACAAAAGAAAGTTTGTACATTTTCTGCTGTTATGCAAAGTTGTTATTTATTTTTTATCTTGACATTACTTTTATTTCATTATCACCATTTAACATTTGATTAAGCTGTTTGATCAAATTCTTACTTTACAAATTCAAATTACAATGCAAATTTATTTGGATATTTCAACTATTTCTCTAATTATAACCAAATGTGACATCATTATATAGTAATAAAAATAAGGTTTGTAACTTTTATTTTTTTTATGAAATTTTTGGCACACATTCCGATAACTGATTTTCAATTAAACGTGAATTCTGGTGCAAGTGCAATTGACATTTCGCGTTGCTGGAAAAACTATCGAAGCAACAACAACAAAAAAAAAAACATGAGTGGAATCCAATTAACCCGAGCGAGTTCGACTTCCATTTTATTCTTTTAATTTCGGTAATGCGGTTTGCGGAGCCGCACGGGCTTCAATAATGCATCGCACAATTCCGTCCGGCCGGAATCAATCGTTTTCTGTTGTTCGTCGCTCTGCTTTGTTTTTCCGTTTCCGGGCTTCTATTTGAAATTTTAATACGTCGACAGTTAATACATTCGGTTTACGAACGAATCGAAATGCGTGTATCGACAGCCGCTTCCTAGTTCGTTATGTAACCGTACGTTTTGTTGCTCCTGGTTAATTTTTATTTTTGTTTGCGGTTTCGCGCGATATTCGCTTATGTAATTATGTGATAAGTGGATTCACACAGTCGTTAGCCTTGCGGCGAGCGTAGACAATGGGACGCGCGCGCGCGCGCAAATCGCTCACGACTTAGTTACAAAACAATCGTCGCCGAAACTGCAGTAACAAACGGATTTTGGTTTTATTGTTCTTCACACGTTGTTGTGTTTTGCACGCAAGATGGATAATCACGTGGCTGCAATGTTGATGGCGTTGCTGCTGTGTTCGCAACCGATCATGCACTTTTCGCAAGCCAAAGTCTACACGAAATGCGGTCTCACCGAGGAACTCATCAAGCTCAACGTGTCCAGAAGTTGGGTCGGAAATTGTAAGTTTTTTTACTCGCGTCAAGATTATTGCCGTATGCTGATCAGTAGGTTCTGTTTTGTTTGTTTGCTTGCAGGGGTCTGCCTCGTCGAAAGCGAAAGTTTCAAAGATACCGGTAAAGTCATCAATAAAGCGAACGGCAGCAAAGGTCTCGGCTTGTTTCAGGTATACCGAATTAAGTGTTACATAATCTAAAAAATATGAACATTCGTATCAGAATTGTGTAAAAGAAAAACCAGACACACTTTTGAAATATACAATTGTATCATTATTATTTGAATTTATTGCGTAACTTGTATTGCAAATTTCGAGGCATCAAATTTTGTTTTGCACATACATTTGCCGAGCTTGAGTACAAGAGTTCTGGACATTCGAACTTGGAACCAGCTCAAACGTCGGTTGTTCGGGACTTAAATCAGTTTATCAAAAAGCAAAGAGAAAATTTTCGTAATTCTTTGTTCAACAATCGAGTTTTTTGTTCAAAATTCTAATTTTCATCGAATGTTTTTTTGATCACCAAACCGTTAGAAAATTTCTAGGTCAAAACTATAAGACAAAAATCAGACTTAAATGACTAGACTGCTATAACAATGCGGTTATCAGTAAATTCAGTCAAGTGCGACTCGATTAGTTCGGTTTGGAACAGTCCGGAATATAATTGGATTATTATTACTTTCAGATTAACAGCAGAGAGTGGTGCCAATTTAAATCTGCTGGAGGAAAATGTCAAATGAAATGCGAAGGTAGAAAATTATGTTTTTATTAGTTATGTCACTTGCATAGTCAAGTAATAACGAAAGACAAAAACTTGTCTAACTTCTGTATGCAATTGCAACATTTATTGGATGCAGTCAGTTAGATAACTGCTGTTATTTAATGGTATTTGCAATGTCTCCACAGATCTGACAAACGAAGATATCCGAGATGACGTTACGTGCGCGCGTAAAGCCATCGAGGAGTTGGGTTTCCAAGGCTGGAACGGATGGGTGCGCAGCTGTAAAGGACGCGAATCCGTCACGCGGATGCCGATTTGCCCGGGGCTCTAACACAAAGGCCCTTTCAAAAAGGGAACACTTTTATGAGCGAGGAAAAAAAATAAGCAAATATATAAGATAAAGCATATGGAAAACTAGACGTATGGTAATAATAAAGGATGTTAAATCAAAACGGCCCATAAAGTTTAAGTGGAAGATATCCAAATCCTTAGCGCGATGAACGCGGATACCTAGAAAAAAGTGATATAATGCAAATAAAAATGCATAAATAAAGAAACGCGAATGTTTCAGAGTTGGCCGTGGGCAAACGCGAAAAGAGTTCCGTCTTCTTCTTTCCCAGAACCTCAGTTTTCTTTAGTTCTTTTCTTTTCTGTTTCCTCATCCTATCCTCGCACACGACGAGTTTGTTATAAAACAACTGCGCTTCTTCTTCTACGTATTCTTATTTATTTCTTTTTATCACCATAAATATTGCCGCGATCACGTAACGGCCTTTCAATACAAAGTGCCTTTTTCTTTGGCCTTTTAGAGAGGCAGGCTTATCTCGGCCTCTCATCCCCCTTCGGCCGCGCGTGATTTGTTAAGAAGGAAAACGTCGGTCTACGCGCCATAAACGAACCACGGTGGAGACTCTCTTCTTTCCGTTCTATTAGCAATTCCCAATATAGCGAGACGATTCACAGACAACTAATGAAGACGTACAGCGTGCCCGCAAGCAATCGTCATCTACCGCTATTAATGTATTCACCAAGAACTTCACCACAGCTACCGTTTAATAGCAAAACATATTGCTACAAACTTAATTTACTTTTCTTTTCTAAACTACATTTACTTGTTTAATAAAAACTTGCCACAACTTGCTAGTTGATAAATCTATGTATGCATTCTGATCTACTAGAAGAAAATCATAATGATAATGACGAAAAGACTTATTTAGTTGTTCGTGCCGATTTTTCACAAAAACTAAAAATCAAACATATTTTTTTAATTAAATATGCACCATTTTCATCTTACGTCTTCCCAGAATTTATAAGGTTTTTCATCAAACAACGTTCTTGCAGTTATTGCAGTTATTTGCAAACACCTGAATTAGTAGAAATCGGAAATCTGGTGAATGCTGTATACTAATTCAACACATTAGTTCACATTAATACAACACAGTCTAACTCCAACTATTTTTGTGGAATAGTAAAAGAAACATAATTGCTAATATTATAATGTTTTTGTCACGAGAGTTTACGTGGATGTTTTTTTGATATTTTTAATATCTCCGCTAATTCACGTCACACGATAGGGGCTATTCTCGATCAATGTCTCGATTTAATCATTATTACTAACAAATATTTAATGCTGAAATTACCAACACAAAACTTAGAGAATTACTTTCGTACAGATTTTTGGCTTTCTAGTAATAGAAAACTATCAAAAATATAAAATGCACTTTGTTTTCTTTCATCTTCTAAAGTCTATTAAACTGACACTAATCATTTGATCCAAACCAAACTTTTCAGAATACAAAAACATTTCAGAATGGGTTTTATTTTTTTAATCATCCTTTTGTTATTTCGCAACATAATTTCCATTTATTTGAATACATTTCTTAAGTCGGTAGAGCCACCTTTCAAAACATTCCACAAAGTCGGCTTTTTGGAGCTTTTCAAGTTCGACATTAACTGCATTAATGATCTCCTTATTCGAACTGAATACTCTTCCCATCAAATTTTTATTTATTTTCGGAAACAGCCAGAAATCACACGGCACTAGGTCCGGAGAGTAAGGTGCTGGGCGAATTTCATTGATGCCAGAGAGCACAAGAAAGTTGTTGTTTTTTTTCAGCAGTGTGAGCGGGTGCATTAACGTGATGTAAAAAGTTCCCCTTTTTTCTGGTTTCCAAACAAATTTTTGAAAACTTGTGGTAAGCAAATTTCTGTACACCACTTAGCAGTAACCGTCTGGCCAGTTTCCAGTGGGATAGCAGCTACCACTTTTGCCCTGGTAAAGTAAATTGGCACCATCACTTTTGTTGCTGATTTTTGTGGGGATTTGCACCTTCTGCGCTCCATGGTTTCCCATCGTACTTATAGAACCAAGATTCATCACCTATTACTATTTTCCTGAAGGTGCTAGACTCTTCATTTTAAAAAATTTCTAAGAAATATTGGGCAAAACATTTATAATTGGTGGAACCCATCGTGCGGATTTCTTCATGTAGCCCAAGTGATGACTTAATACTCTCGACACAGCCATGGCATTCAAGCCCAGTTCACCACGAGATTCGACCTCAACAGAAAAATGTCCGGTTTGGAATCTTCGAAACCACTTGGAAATAGTGACAAGGGATGATGCATTCATTCCATATGCATTTTGGCATTCCTGGTAAATTTGCATAGGCATGAGTTGACTTCGAAATCCGTAGAGAATGGGGAAACAATTTTTTGCATTACATCACTAATCTTGCATTTTCTCCTATCCATTCTTACCAATCTTCTTGAAATTTGACATGAAATACTGTTATACTTTAACAAATTGAAAAAAAACTTTTCTTTTTTCAGAAACAAATGTATTAACGCCAACTAAGCGATCTTTTGTTAGACCCCACATATATACAAAAGCTAATTCGACAACCCAATATTTAGTATCAAGAATCAATCTACGTATTCCATTCATTTCTGTACCCATGTGTATTTGTTGGATGACTATAAACTCGTTACTCTATTTATGTGTTGTCTTTTATAAAGATAAAAATGATTATTCACATTCACGATGTAACACTAAAATAAATAGTATTCAGGTGACATTTGTCAACCCGAAAAGATAATTTACTACGACTAGATTTTAAATAAAAAATTCAGAATGAACGGTTATTTTACGCGGAACGTAAATTAAAGTGATAAATTTCGGCGGAAGGCATTGTTTATTGCATATGAAACTTTTTAATTTCAGTATGACACGTCGTGCAGTCAAGCGAGCAGCAGCATCTCTTTTTTTTTTGGTTTACTTCCATCACACCGCATGTAAATACGTCGCACCGTGTGGCGCTTATGTAATATTCATTAAACGGACACATCCATGAATACTAATCTGTATTTTAGAAGCACTTTATATGCGCTTTGATGAGGAAACGATTATGTTCACGACTCCCGAAAACTCGTACAGACATCGCCGTCGACAATTCCCAAAACTAGCATTCAAAGTGTGTAACCGAAAACCACATTCAGACGGCCGCAATAACTATCAAACGTGCAGAAACGCTTCAGCTCGCATTTAGATCTTTGCCCATTCCGAATCGACGAAGGTAATCTAGCTTCAGAAACATCTAAGATAATTGAATCGAACTGTATTTAAAATAGTTGGTATTGATATGATGATCATCATCATTGGAAATATTACATGAAGAATTGGGAGTTGTTGTTATTTGTTCATTAAATTCCACCGAAAATCTTGAATTTCAAATTATAATTACGTTTCGTAGCAAGCTTGTACAACTCTCGTTGTGGTGCGTATATTTATTTTTTCTGTGATCCGTTTGAAATGCAGTTAATATTTATTACGAAACGGGTGGTTTTCAGATTTATAGCGGCGTAATGAAGGCCGCTGCGGTTCGAGTCGGGGGCGGCTGCGGTTCGAACAATGGAACACGGCGGAGCGGTGGAGATCCCTTTCACCGTCCCCGCAATATTGCATTGCAGCAATAGCATGCGGTGGTGGCGGCGGCCCCCGCAATTGTACCGTCGAGGCATTCAGAATTTACAAATACAATCGGATCGTCACGAACAACAATAAAAAAAACACACACAAATTAACGCAGTTCATACATGCATTCAAACCTATCTACCTACATTGCATCCGAACACCACTAAATAGTTCTCTCATAGTAGAACATCAACGTGATAAACAAAAAAAAGCTCATAATTAAATTACACCAGTAAATCTCAACTGCAGTTTAAGGTACACTTGGTTCTCTTTTTATGCGGTAGATACGTTCCACAAGAAAACGCATAAAAATAAATCGCACAAAAAAGGACTAGACACACGTATAAAAATAAAGGATACGTTTCATAATTTTTTAAAACCGCATAAAACTAAATAAATGAGTTACAATATACCGAAAATTACATAAAAAAGGGTTTATTAAATTTCAGAAAAATAATTAGTCTTACTATATTCTTTCTGAAATGTTTATTCATAATTTTATAAAAATGTTAACAATCTTAACATATTCTTTCTAAATTTAAACGGAAAAATTTTACAAAAAAAAAAAATACAGAACATTTTTTTCTTTAGAATTATCGTGGCTATATGAGTTTTCGGCATAATATGCGAACTGGTTCGAAATCACTTTCATCACTAGAATTGATAGTCAGCATATCAGATCTGAATATATATGTCCTGAAGATAATGATTCTTCACAAGTAAAATTAGTCTCAACTTCGCATGTTGATTTTTTCCCTTTGACAATATAATCAATGATTAAACTTTGCGATGGCTTTGCTAGTTTTTTTTGTACAATTCCTGATATCCAGAAATGCAATTCTGAAGCTCGCGTTGAAACAGTGTAAATTCAGATCCGCCTCTGGCGAATTGATAATGATTTTATATCAAGAATTAAACTGTCAAATAATTCTTAACATGTCCAATGTCCACTCCTTAATCAAATTTCTGTTTTTTTTTTAAGTGGAAACATATCTTTGAAAGTTCTTAATTAAGACATAATCTTGAAATGAGCGAAGTGAACATAAAAATTGGAATATTAAGTACGATAAAACTAATATTGTATCGCTATTAATTATTATTATTTAAAAAATAAATGTATGCGAAAAGGAATTAGATAAAAACTAAATGAAAACATACTATTTTCGAATCTAGGTTAGTTATATTTATTGATCCAAAAACATACTAATAGACTCGCGCTGCACAAGCTCTCAAGTAAATTGCTTCCTAATTGATGAAAGCATCCTAGAAATTCAATTAAAAATACGTACGTACTCGAAAGCATCCCGCTTCCATCGTTCCTATTACATTACATGCACCATGCAATATGAAATCAGTCACATATTCGGAGATGCGAAAGTAATATTGGTGAATAATGTATTTCTCACAAAAAAAAACACAAGTTAAATATACAAATATAGTCATAAGTTATTGACTTTTATGTTAATATTAATTCACTTC